AAAAAAAAAAAAAAATCGGATTGAACCTTTTATATTAAACTTGAGCAGGTTCTCTGAAAACTCAACAAAAAAATGGAAAGAATTTACTGTCAAAAGAAAAAGAAAAAATGATGAATATCAGAAATACCTCACACCTTTTATGCCCGAAAGAATTTCAAATCACCGCTTATTATCGCCAAAATTCACTAGATCCCACCTGGCGGCGATATCCATTTCTCGCCGGAGATCAGCGGAATACTATTTTAGCTATTTGGTCCTTCATCGATAATCAGCCATGTCCGGTGATAAATTCCCAATGCTCACCGGAGTTCTGACGCCGTTTTTGCTGATATGGTCCCATTACGTCACATCCATACACTCGTCCATTACGCCATTCAACCTCTCCCACTTTCTCTATCCCAAAGTCACCTCCTTCACTGAATCGGACACTTCTCTGCCGCAACCCCCGCCTTTTCTGCAGGTTAACTTTAGAAATTTATGTTACTTCGTTCCGTTTTTCGTTGACTTGCTGTTCTCTATTTCGAGTTGACATTATTGCTGTCTAAAGAGTTTAGGCCGAGGTGTGAGTTTTTCAGATTATGAATTAGCATTTTCTGTCCTTAAGGTCATATCTTGATCACGCAAAATGTGTCCGTGAAGAGTTCCGCAGTTCTTAGAAATGTCAATTTGATCGATTTTTCGTATTTAACTTAGGGTGTTTTGGATGCAATTGCCAAGAAAGAGAGATGGGCGGTGGAGGATATTCGGGTTTCTGAGGTGGACGTGAAGAAAGCTAAATACAGAACAGGACTTAGATATGAGTTAAGGGTTCATTTTGGGAAGGCTGAAATTGTTCTTAAGATGCACGATGAGTTATCAGAATGGAGAAAAATGATGGCTCAAATGAACGGAACACTGAATTTTGAGGCTATGGCTACCATTATTGCGACCGAGGCTGTAATTGATAGTTTCAAAATGGAAGGCCCTTTTGAACTGCGGGTCACAAGTGATAATGATCAGCTCTCGCTTGTGTTGCCCGTAAGTTTGTCCACGATCTATTCTGAATGTTTTTATGGCTTTGAATTAATTCTTGATTTGTTTCAAAGATAATATTTGGGACTAAAAGGCTATGTTGTTGTTGTTGTTGTTGTTGTTGTTGTTTCAGAGATAGTATTTGGGATGATTTAATATAAGCTGTCAGCAGTTGGTAATGAATGTGGATAAAATACGGTGAAAAATGTGGACTAGGAAACCTAATAGGAAATTAAAAAGAATTATTTATTTTCAATTGATGATGAAATCTGTTTCGGCCCTCAAAGATATTGTTATTGTTGTTATATATACTTTAGCTATTGGAGATTGATGAGAAAAGTCTATTGCTGTGAATGGTTGGCGGGTTGATGGAGCAGGCTAAACTAATTTGGATAAGAGTGGTTATGGTATTTGTCTCCAGGAAGTGTTTTTAAACAACGCGCATTGGTCATTCACTCGTACTGCTCCTTTCTACTTCTGCACTAGATTCAAGTTAAAGCTTTTACATGCATTTTGGTCCGGGTGTTCACTACCCCATTATACGGTAAAGCACCGTAAAAATGCGTGTAGGTTTTTTGAAAAAATGCGATGTTTCATGGTATGCCATTATTTGTTAAGTTTCAAGCAAGTAACTGTTTTTTATGTTAATGTTCTTTCTCTTTTTCTCTCGTGCGCACACGTCAATCAGAGTCATTATTAAGTTATGGTTTTGTTCTGTCTAGAATCATTTGCACTTGTCTGAATCATTTTCAGCAATATTTTGTACTCATACTGAGAGTGGGTCTTTCTTGGGCGTTGATTTCAGTTAAACACGACCCACTCTGGTCTGAAGCAGATATCAGTCGGTGAAGGTATTCTAGTAGATATACAAGGTGCACGAGAAATTTCCATGTTCCATCCTCCTACTATTTCCACTTATGGAAACTGGAACTATTTTGGCATTATTTTGCCCGGTTTATGCACGGCACCAACGCCCATACGCATTCTGGGGCCTGCATCCGTATTGGCACACAGAAATCAAAGACCCACAGCGCTCGTTCAGACTGCTTTCACCTCCGAAAAGGCAATTAAATTATTGCCGGACAAATGTTATGGCAAGAGACAGAGACGTCTTCATGATTCCCTGAGCAGCAGAATAGGCTCCCTCGAGAGGGTTTTGAGGAGCTTTTTAAACATTAGCAGCAGTAAAAGTTATGCCTTGGGATCTGTGAAGACTAGAGTTAAACCGTTGTCCGCATTCCGTTTCCGTTTGGAACTGGAAAGAGAGATTAGGGATGATGATGCATTTTGGAGCACGTCTGCCGAGTGGAGAACGAGGCCTACCGTCGAGCGCGTGTATTTCGAAGTACTGGCAAGAATTGAAGATGAAGTTTTGAGACCATTGGTCATCAAGAAGGTCCGACCTATGATTGATACAGATACATTTGCGTGGAGTAGTTTATCTTCGAATATTTCTTTCACACAGTTTCCCTCGGTGTTCCTCCCTCCGGAGGCCTTAACGCTGGATGTGAAATGGTAGAAAATTGTTCTCTTTTTTTTTTTTTTTTTTTTTTTTTTTTTTTTTTTATCTGTTTGTAAATTAAATCACTGTTCTCCTGTAGGCACAATATGTGCTCTACGTGTACTGTTACTCTAAACACCAACTTCACTTTTCCTCTTGTCTCTGTTTTTACTAGTTATAGGGATGATTAACTAGGTAAATCAATTACAGAATCGAATGGATTATTTACGAAATTGCCCCAACGTTTTGGTGTTACTACAGAAAAATGCTTGATTGATTTGCTAATATTTATTGTGTAACTAGAGTTGATTTTCAGGATTAGTTCCACCCAAAACTTGAAATTTCAGTATGGAAAGTTGAAAAGGAATTGTATGGTGAAAAGAAATTTCAGGATTATTTGTTGATGCATACATGTATATATGTTAATACCTTGGTTATGTTTACAACTCACTGCGCATACAGACAGACAGTAGTATTGATTTGGTAAACACACACAATGATGCATATATTGTATTACACATAATTTTTTCTTTTATCCAATGTGTACACGAGGAAGGAGCATATAACTGTTGGCAGTAAAAACCCAGACAAGGCTTAACACGAATCCCTTGGTCTCACCACCTCCAACTTCAACTTGTTGTACCTGTACCACGACGCACACAACAAGTAGACCCCGAGATTGAGCGTGCTGAGCCCCGCGAGAAGCCAATAGAAGTACTCCAATCTATCCTTGTTCAAATCAGCATTGGCCAGCCAACCCCCGCTGGCCCTGTTGACCACGCTCACGGCAACCGAGCTCCCGTAGTAGCCAAACGCGTAGGAGCACCAGGAGATGGCCGTCCCCAGGGACTTCATCCGGGACGAGCTCTCGGTGTAGAAGAAATCCAGGAGCCCCACGAGCACAAACACTTCGGCCACCCCGAAAACTGCGTATTGGATGAGCAGCCAGAAGACAGTCATCCGCTGCTGCCCTAGGCCTAGGCCTTTCCTGCGCACCTCCACAAGACCTGCGACCCCCATGGATAAGGCCGAGAGTGCAAGGCCGGCCCCAATTCTCTGGAGCTGCGTGATGCCGTTTGGGTTTGTCGTGATTTTTCTGGCCAGTGGGACAAACGTGCGGTCGTATAGTGGGATGAGGAGGAATACGAATAGGAGAGGGATGACGCCGACGGAGGATGGGGGGATCTCGAAGTTTCCGATCCTGCGGTTTGTGGTGTTGCTTTGTTGGATGGAGAAGGTTTGGAGCTGGGCGAGGCAGATGTTCATGAAGAAGGTGGTGAGGATGAGGGGAATCATGCGAACCAGGATTTTGGTCTCCTCGACTTGCGTGATGGTGCACGTGTTCCATGCTGTTGTTGTGTCTGCCCCATGCTTTAATATGGCTGCACGGTCAAGTAATCTGCGCAAGTTCCAAGGGAGTAAGCTGCAAATTAATGTTCGTATCGTATGACTTTGTGTGTGTATCTAACATAACATGTGTTTGTTTTGGGGTTAAAGGTATGAAGAGGGGACCGACCGACCTGGTGAGATGGGTTTTTCATATACCTATGATTTGTGAGAAAATCCATCGGTCGGGTCGGTTCGGTCACTGGAAGTTAACTGAAAATGTCTTTTCATAAAAAAATGGAGGAGGATGTTTGAATTGCAGAGTGAACGGAAGTTTTGTAATCATTTCAATTGCAAATGCTGAAATATATTATTGTTTTAATTTGCAGCCAATGCCAATCTTAATCACTCAATAATCACATCCATTCCTACTAGTTCAAGGTTGATCTAATTAATGCAACTACACATTACCTGAATTGATCAGTCCTTAGCAGAATCTCAGTGTGCTCAGCTTCTTTATCACCAACTTCATGCAACTCCTCTTCGTTCTCTGGCAACGGCATATTCCTGTTCTTAAATGCCACAACAAACACCTACAAGACAGATTAACTAATGCTTCAAAACCCAAGTAAAAGAGAAAGATGACGAAGAAATCGACATAGCTGTTTAGTTTAGTTCATACCTGCAGAATTCTAGTAATTGGACTCCCCTGGGGCACATTATGCCGGTACCAACAACGGCCCATGCTCAGGGCCAGCACACCCATCACTATAGCCATGGCGCACACGGCAAATGCCCAATCCCAACCCGTGTTCGTATTAATCCAGACAATAAAAGTCAACCCGAGAATGGCCCCTATGTTCACAAAAAAGTAGTACCAATTGAAGTAGCTAGAGAGGCAAGGAGCTTCCTTGGGGTCCCTTGAGTCGAATTGGTCTGCCCCGAGGGAAGGCAGGGCAGCCTTGACACCCCCATTTCCGAGGGCCACGAGATAGAGGCTCGTGAATAGCATGGCCTCCTGATTCGTGCTGGCCGCTTCACATTGGTTGGTTTGGACATCTTTGCAAGGAAAGGGTCTGAGCTGTTTTAGGTGGGCTTGTACGGCTAACAAAGCGTATCCCTGTAGTGGGATTGCATTTCGAAAAATGTATATGATTTAGCTGCTTTTGAGATGTGGGAGAAAAGGTGCTATTTATATATGTGTCATGTCATTAAAGTTTTAGTTGATTAGTAGGGACTGATGGTTTTGGACGTCACTTTCATGTTGTAACCTGCTTAAACTATTAGTGAAATCCTACGTTATTGGCGTGATTATTGAATACTGCTCTAGCAATAATGTTGGCATTAGTGTTTAGTGATGAACATCTGTAATCAGTGCTGATTTGGTCATGTTCCTCACTCTCTGTCTGAATTCAATATTCTACAGTTAGGTCACTGATGTGCACTGTAATGATGGTTTAAGTTTCATAATAAGCCGTTGTAATAATAACAGTATTCGGAAACTAACACAGCACCTAAGACCTGCTACATTCATTCGATCCAGAAGAATAAAGATAAATTGATGTCAGATACTCAGTGGTAGTTCAAAGAATGAATGGATATGATCACAAAAAATTTCATCGCGAAGGTCGTCTATCTTAACTACAAAGATCTTTAGCGATTATTTAAAAACTTCACAAAAATATGCAAAGGGAATTAAGCCAAAAGTGCTAGATGAAGAATAGCAGCCAGTTTGTAACCACTCTGTGATGCTAAGGGGGAATGTTTTGTAGTTTAACAACCATATATGATAAATTTGTCAACAAAAAAACAAAAAAAGGCTATGGACGAATACCATTGCTTGTATGGTTCCGAAGACAAGACAGGTCTTGAACCTTGAGATGTAAGTATCTGAAATGGGTCCTCCAAAGAGGGAAAGCAAAAAAGCCGTGCCCATGTAATTTGTGAGGGCGTTAGCTGACTTGGTCAAGCTGAAGTTCATGTACCCATGAAAGTAATTGAACAAGCTCACAGCATTCGAACTGAATGTCAACGTCTCTAGGGCCGCCATAACTATATTTATCGTCGAAGAATATTACCAAATCCAAACAAAAACTATACATTAGTTGATGAAAAATGTAAAGAGAAGAATAAAACAAACTATGGTTTTCGCTTTCCTTTTTCTTTTCTTTCATTCTAATTCATTACCGAACACAAATGATGCAGCTCTACGCCCTCCTTTCCGTTGTTGCTGTTTGGGCTCCATTTCGGCATTTCGAAAAGGTGCCTGCATATGTCGAAAGGCTCGGGGTTACAAAAGTTAGATGTCATGTGATCAGTAGTATGCCTAAAGATTTTTATCATTCCTACCATTTCAGTAGTTCTTCTTCCTGTGTGAATGTTCCAACATAATTTGAATTGCTTTAATAGATATCAACACACAGGTGGCAAGAAAAATAAATAAATAAAAATGCAGTACCTAACCGAAAACCAAAGGGAGTTTCGTTTATTATATTATATACGTGGTCCCCACCATGGGGGGCTGGGTTAGAAGAAGTGCTCTTTTATGTTTCATAAATCATGATGACATTATAATATTCGGGGATGGATCTAGGAATTAAATATAATGAGTGGGGTTTAACTAAATAATTAAAAAGAAATATATAAAAAACTTAATGAAAAAGGCAAATGTAAAAACGGTGTCTTCATAATAAAACCTGATCATCTTGACTGATTTTTGCATTGATACCAGAATTTTCCGTGCTATATTCTTTCTGCCCAAAGATACTAGAAGTTCCCTCAAATCTAAGTGGATTCAAAGTATCTTTTTTTGAGACATTTTCACAGAAATTTTGTTGACATGTCCTTTTTTGAAAATATCTCTCAGTGTCTGATATTCGAAAATAATATTATAAATTTACAATAAATGAATTCCCCATTTTGACATATCACACTTTAAATAACTGTAAAAAAAAAAAAACCTAAAAAGAGCTTGGATGTGCAATTTCTACATAAAAAAGAATATACCACTATCTAAAAAATTAAAGAAGAGTATTTTTTACCTCTATTAAAACAAACAGAAAGAATTTCATTATCTTGTAAGTAGTCTTTCCATATACCACTTTTCTCTTGTTTAATTATTTTGTTAAATGCTTTATTAGTTTATTGTATTAAGCTTATTTATTGGGCTCATATAGGCTAGTAGTAATACTAGGGTTTAGTCTTTGTGAGTTGGGCAGTTTTTATTGGGCTCATAAGGCGTAACTAGTATTTTTTAGATTAAACAATATGGGTTAATACTAATACTAGGTTTTTTTTTTTTTTTCCACTGTGGGCCTAGGCCTACACTGGTCCCAATAAGGCTCCGCCTGTGATAATATTCTCTGCCACCCTTCAAATAATAGTATAAAAAAATCTTACCAGGCCAAAGTGTTGGAACCCATGAGGATCTCGATATGCACAAATCACAGACAAACATTCAACA